TGAGCCACTTCCCCATAAATCACGTTACCTTCCTGAACGTGGTCGCGGTATACATGGCTGTGCGCCCACAGATGTCCTCGATGCAAAAATTGATCACGTACTCGCCGAGCATCATCCGTAGCGCCTGCACGCCGCCCTTCATAGTGGCAGGGTGCAAGGAACTGACACGGATCCGCCCCCCACTTCAGTAGCCACAGCGTGAGCGGTCGCTTGCCACACATAATGGAAAAGCGCAGCCAGTGTTCCCAACCGTCCCGGGCGCCCTACAGGGCCCTGGCGGGCTTGCAGTCCCGGGTGTCCCGGGCAGGGTGGGTAAGGACGGCAGGGCATGGCGTCCGTCTTTGATAAAGACCGCCATTCGAAGGGTTGACGCCCGGGCCCTGGAGTCTTAATACAAATGGCATCTTCCGGCCGTCCTCACCGGGGACCGGCCGTCATTCGCAGAGCCCGACCGTCATTCGCAGGGCCCGGCCGTCATTCGCAGGGCCCGGCCGTCATTCGTAGAGCTCGGCCGTCATCTGCAGGGCCCGACCGTCATCTGCAGGGCCCGGCTCTCATCCACAGGGCCATTTGCAGGTGAGACACCTATAGGGCCCGGCCGGCCGTCCGGGCAGTGGTTAGGACGGACTACAGGATAGGCGTCCGTCCAGGGCAGAGTTCCAGAAACCGGCGTCCGTCCCGTCCAAAGCCAAGGACGGACGAACTGGACGCTTGGGAACACTGAGCGCAGCTCTGCATTGCGGACTATATCTGTTCCTGCGCCTTTGGTTCAGAGGTAGGGGACTAAGCCCTCCTCATTTACATCAGCCGCGTAGTTGTCCGGGTACTTGTATCAGTGTATCAGGTGGGGGGTCGGTAACAAGAGGCTTGTCAGGAGGGCTGGCGACGGGATTAGGATTGCCTGGTACATGGCGCTGATATGGTCGTCACCAGGGGTGGGCGTGCTAATGGTGAGTTCCTGGGAGAAGCGGGCATGCAGGTGTTTTAAGGTGCTGGTTAGGGCTAAGAGGAGGGGGTTGGGGGGGGGTGTTGCTTATCAGGTAGAGCAGTTGGGTTAGGAAGGTTATTAAAGTCATTCTGAGTGTTTCTCCTCTCTTTTCCCCTTTTCTCCTTTCCTCTTTCTCTTCCTCCCCCTTCTTTGCAAAAGTGTCATTGGGTGATGTTGACCCGTGCAAGGTGGGGATATAAATTAGAATCGCAGTGGTGGTGGCAGAGTTTTCGAGAAAAGAATGTTGAAAAGAAATCGAGAGCGAGGATCCGTCTAGGGAAGGGCTGAATACAGATATTGCTCAGAGACAGGCTGACCTAAACTACCTTAGTAATTAAACGGCATCATGTGAGTTCCCCCACCGGTACGATACTGTGCTTTAGATCGTTTGGGAGTTGTCATCTGTAGAATGGAGGTTGTCCCTGCTTGTTGGGAGTTGGGTCCAGAAAGTGTGATAACAGGTTTATTGGTTGCGATAGGGCTCAGGGTGAGTAACGAGTATGTATGAGCATCTGTTGCACTGTGCGGCACCCGTAAGCAAGAAGGAAATACCAACAGAGAGAAATATAGTACCAGACTATTCAATTCCACATAGATTTTAGACAGGATCTAATGCTTCAGCACCATCTGCGCGGTTAGAAGGCAAGCTAATACCAAGCAATAAGTTTTCGAAAAACTTGCTCACGACATGCAGAAAGCGATGGGGCGCCCAATTACCTCAATTGAATACCACAGCCTGCCTGCCTCTCTGCATCAGGAGGAGCAGGATGTATAATTAAGAGCATCGACGGACGCTGGGGGCGGAATCCGTCTCTAATTACGGGTATACCATTCCTAGAAGAATGAAGACTGATATAAATGGTGTGTATAAGCAGTTCGCGGCAAGGTGAAACCGGAGCTGCTAGACGCCGACGTAGCCTGCAGATATCTGAACTACCTATAGGCCTTCACCATTAATCACGCGGAACATGAGTAACGTGATTTATGGGGATGCGGCTCACGACAGGGATGCGGCTCACCCTTGGCAACCAGTGGAAAATCAAATATATCTTTCATTATCACAATAAATAATTGTGAGACCACCATGAAATTTTATTAATAGGTACATTGAAATATAGAGAATTAGAATATGTAAATTCTATTATACTATAATAAACCATTCCTCTGGTGCATGGTTTTTAAGATTGGTTCTCTCAAACAAAAGTGCAACAGTATTTCTCAAAAGAAAAATTGTAATGAATATAAGAAGTTCCTTCTTAAGTGAATTAAGGGATTGAATTAGCCTTATAAGCTCATGGACAATAGTGGTCACCATTTATATAACCAGTTTCTAATATTATTGTATCTGGTAAAAACTAATAGAAAGTAAGCAAATTACATACAAATTTGCTTTATTTGATAAGTAGATAACTATTCACCATAAGAACTTACAACTCTAACATTTTGCAGTCTGCTTTACAATAACTGATTATACAAGAATACTAATTTTACAGTTACTTAGAAAAGTTTTCTATATTCTATTCTACAGTTATTATTAGTTGCAATAAAGTGGGTCGATATTATTAATTCTTCGAACTACGCTGAAATTATTCATACTAATAATTCAAACAACTTAAAAACATCTTAAATGACTTATGCAAACCAGGAGACTAGGATATGATCCTTAGAGTCTGGTTAAATATTTGTATTCTGTTAGATTATAGTACAATTAAAATACCTTAATTACAACAGATAACTTCAATTAAAATTACTATACTTTTCCTATTTTGATCAAATATTTATATAAATAGTCTATCATACTTACCAAATCCATAAAAAACCACTAGTATGATTTTAGACCACATGGAGGATTTCTTTTCTTTATAATATCATAATTGTATAATAGTTTATTAACTACTTATTGCCCCTTCAATAATGAGAGTACCATATATGTAAAACTTCTTGGATTAACCTCAAAATTTCTGTACTTACTCAAAGAGGCACTGTAAAGTAGGTTATGAAATATCAAAGGTATAGATTATTAGAGCAACATGTTATCCTGTTACCAAATACGTTGGTTTTGTATGTAAATGGCTTACTTCTTATACCAATAATACTACACTTAACAATACTAGGAATTAGTAATAAATAAAAAGGAAAATGATTCTCTACAAGCCCATAAAGACCATTCAATCTTATAATTCATCTATGAAGGTACTCCTTACTAGTTTTTACATCCTACTCTCCTACAAAATTTGAGCAGCCTTACTTGAAAGAAACAATCTTAAAAACCCTGTACAAGAGTAATGGTTCCTAATTATGAAAAAGAATTTTCATATTCCAATTCTCCATATTTCAAAGCACCTACTAATAAAGCTTCATGGTAGCCGCATGACTATTCATAGAGATAATCAATAATATGTTTGATTTTCAACTGGTTGCCATGGGTGAGCCACATCCCTATCGTGAGCCGCATCCCCATAAATCACGTTAGGATGAATCTGACACAAACACCTGGCCTCTACCTCGCAGAAAGCCATATGGATTTTGGATTTTGGTCCTGTTACTGGGCCTACTAATGTACGATAGCGAAGTCTCACCTATATCCTAAAGCTGCAAATAGTCAGACCAGATTCTATATATTCCGCCACTACAAAGCACATCAGGATCACTGCGAGGAGATAAACAAAAGGAAATGAAAGGGAACGCCGGACCTCTGTGTTCAGGCGGGGGAACATGTACACATTCGAAATCTGCATAGAGACCAGGTGGGCGATGTAGCAATGGAATGTGTATTAGCAAGATTAGGATTGACTTTGGGTGACATTTATGCATGGTCACTTGGAGGCCCCAGATATCTGCAGGCCGGCAAGGCCCGGTTGGATGAATCCCAGAATTCAGGCTGTTGTACCCATCTCGGCTACCATGTAGGCCTTAGCTACTCACAAGGGGCCGAGAGTGTGGGCTGGGAGGTGGAATATATCTGCGCCTTAGAGCTCAAAAGCCTAGCACACTGCAAAACAATATCTTGGTATCACACCAAAGTGGTAATCGCCCTCCGCTATTCCCACCTTTGTTTCATCGATCCCCCTCCATCGGACAGCCTCTGACCCGGAGTGGATATAGGACCACTGGGGCAGTATATTTAGTGGACAGTAGACTACTAGGCGTGTATGAAACTGTTGTGGTGCTGACGTAATCGGCCCGCTAACCAAGGGTGGACGAAAGACTGTTGGGTGAGTATTAGACCACTATTACCAAAGACTTAGTGTGAACTCTAAACCCGGCGAGGCTATTTCTGCTCAAACCAGGGAAATCTTTCACAGATGAGGCCCCGATGGCTGCCCCCTCCCGCTGAATGGGGCTTGGCATCACGATCTGCCCCCATCCATCACCTGCCTTACCTTGCGGAGGTATAGCGCCTAAGATTGTATCTTGGACTAACAAGGGGTGTTACGCTAGCACGGGCCAAGGTAGCAAATTGGAGAAAGGACAGTGAATTTGGTATGGTGGTAACCTCCGTAATTCACTTCCTTACCCCCTGTCGGTCGGGCATCCCCTGGTGGTTGGGTTTACAAAATTTGGACACTGTACCTCCGCAGTACCGTACTAGTAATTCTCTGAAGGAGGGATTTGACCGCTACCGACCGCGATAGTATTTACTTCAATTCATATGCCCCCAGATTCCACTTCCGCTGCCAAGGAACCGGTATCATTCATTGATACCGCTAGTATGAGTGGCCACATCACCAACATTCTGCAGTTGCAGACTGCTTATAACGCCGCCAAGACCGCGGTTACCCACAATGTGAATATTGTGAATGGGTTGGCTGTTGAGTGGGCTGGTTTCGCAAGAGCCAACTCGGTCAGTCTAGGTTAAATTGCTACTGGGATTAGCGACTTCAGATCAGCACTTTGTTGGGATGATATTGTCCGTTAACAAAATTAACCGCGCACCCACAATTGATAGCAACGCAACCCTCCTCATTACCCCGCTCTTTCAACACCACTTAAAGAAAATCCTCTAAATCAACTAAAACAAAATCATTCTTCCCAATTTCTTTTTTAAAGAAACTATGCCTCCTCTTCTTCACAGTCATGCCAAAAATCCTATCCTCTCCTATCATCTATCAGAGTTTACAAGGGGGCAAATTTTCAGATTGCATGAGGCTCAAATGGGATATTGCCAAATTTCCCACTACCTTAAGAGGACAAGGAGAGAAAGGGCAGAGGAAGACATTCTAAAACTACCAAATTGCAGGATGAGGTCATGATGGAGGAAGCTCTGAAAAATCGAAGTACCACCTATATTGAGATTGCTGAGAAAGTTGCTCCCAATGTTTCATCAATGACAGTGAGGAGAAGACTTGTACAAAAGCATTCTAAAAAGGGGAAAGCACAAGAGAGGGTTTACTTAGATGAGGATCTGGCTCAGGAGAGGTTGGAATGGGCACTAGCTCATAGGTACTGGACAAGGAAGCTGTGGAGAAAGAAGACAATGTGGGAGGATGAGGTAGCTGTAGAGAGAGAAGAAGGAAAGAGGAAAAAATGGGTATTCAGATATCCAAATGAGAAGTGGAATAAGGATTATATTGAACCTGCTACTAGGAGAGGTGAGAGGGAAATTGGCCAGATGATGACTGGTTGTTTTTATGGTCAAACTCATGGTCTCTCCTTGCCTGTTTTTCCTGATCCTACTTCTACTGCCAGTAGGGGTGGAGTTACTGGAAAGTCAATTATTAATGTCTATGATCATTATGACTTTCTAGGGATATGGCAGGACATCAGGGAAAAGGTTGGAGAGGAAAAGGTATTTTTTATCATTGACAATGCTAAGACCCACTTGCTCTTTAGGAGATGGCTCAGAAGGCAGGGAATTCCTCTATTGGAAATTTCTGCCTATTCACCAGATCTCAATTCTATTGAGAATGTTTGGTCTCTGGTGAAAGATAAGTTTCACAAGAACTATCCTGAGCTCTATCTCATGAAGGGTTCTGTCAATGAGGTTAAAAAGACAATTGAGGAGGCCATCATTTATTGCTAGAAACTTCTGGACTCAAAGGTTTTTGATACTTTGGCAGGGTCAATGGTGGATAGAATGGAGGCAATTATTAAGGCAGATAGATGGTATACCAGATATTGATTTCTACTATGTATTTACATTTTTAATTTTTTTTTGTTTTCATGATAGTAGGTTATTGGGGCAGAGTGGTTGTCATCGCCGAAGGTTTTCCGGCCATTGATGTGCACGGTTAATTTTGTTAACGTACAATACCTTAGATTTCCGGAGGGCGGGGGTAATCTTCTTTGGGATTTGTCAGGTCCGAGGTTGCTGTTGTTTTCCACCAGTTGAATTGTTTGTAAAAGAGATCATTGTCCGTTGCACCGCAACAAGTTCACAACATCCTGTTTAGGTTGAGAAAAGCTATTGAGGGCCTAATACTCAGATAGAATTGGTTGCTGGACAATCCAAGGGGCATCACAATACTGGTGCGAATACCTATATATCTCTTCATTCTGGGCTCTACTGCTAACACAGACGCTTAAGCATCTTTGCTGCCATGAATCCTGGCTATGCTAGCGGTTCGAATCTGCCAGACAATCTTAGGAAACTCTCTCGCAGTTTTTCTATGTTGAAGCCTAATAACAAGCTTATAGCCGAAGTTATGCTTTACTAGCAAGGATTTAACAGAGCGAAGCAGCTTTCCAAGCAAACGGTGCCCTTTTTTCTACACGTTATGCTTCATAGCTTTCAAAAAAAACCGTATTATGATTTTGGGTTGCGTCCACGGAAGAGCGCACTTATTAGCTCCGGAGGATGAAAGAGAGCGAATTTGATAAGCGACGCCGTTGATTTTGAGGGGGAAAAGATATCAGGCCCCGACCGTGAGGTACAGCTTATCATGCAGAGTCTGAAAGTGACTATGGCGCTGGAATTAATTCAGAGTAATGTAGAGAATATGAGGAAGTGGGTTCACTCCCTGCTTAATCCATCTTTCGCCTCTAACATAATGCCTTAGAGCTGAAGAGGTGTCATTCCCGGGAATTCAGCGGGTATCATACCCGGAAATCTTTGAATAGCCCCTTTCATGCGGATCTCTCACGTGGAGCGGCCCTTAAACCCCGATGAATTGTGTCATGCTCTAGGAGTTGAGATAGGGTTACCAAACCTCAACAGCGACAATGTTCCTTCAATAGGGACAATATCGTGGGTTGACAAAATTAACCGCGAATCAACAAAGAGAGAAAAGATTTGAGCAATGACAATACTCCCTCACCAGCCCCACTATCATTAAACACAAGAAAAAAAAAATGGGAATATAAGTACATAGTAGAATAAACAGCAAAATTTAATATTTGAGCTAGAAATATTTCTTTATACGGTGTTGGAAGGGCGGGGTGATAGGGATGGTTGTGTTGCCGTCAATCGTTAGTCCCCGGTTTTTTTTCCAACAATTCTTTTTCTTCTCTCTGATGAAGTGTATCGTACTAGACCTATAGACGTGAGGTTGTTTACGTAAATGACAGGATAGACAAAAGATATAAAGCGCCAGCATTTCTCACACTCTTAACATATTATACAAAGCGACGCAAAAGCCAGCCGTCAACCCAACTCAACTCAGATACAGTGACGGTCGGTTCCTACCATAGACAAAGTTCAGACTAACCCCCCAGACACGAGTTCAGAGAGAGGAATTGGGAGGCTGGCCACAGTTTTGGTCTTGCTTAGCATGGGATATTTAATACTAAGACCAATACCGTAGAGACCACGCGAAACCTGAGCTTAAAGTACAGTAGCGCGCTAGCAAAATGCATAACAATCAGGGAAGGAACATAACCATTGGGCGTTTGCATATACTCGTATACTAGAAGGGGGCTGTCTCCGCGAACGCCTGAAAGGTAGTAGTTTTCAAAAAAAAACTAGTGCCTTGCTTCTACAATGGGTGCCTATCTAAATTTTTGGTGCTCATCCTAAATTTCAGAGCTCCTCTAGGCAGAACTTCCTTCACTTGATAGTCCTGGCATGGTTGATTAAATAAAGCCTAGACTTTGGACTCCTGGTTACCCATAGATTTATACCGCGCTTGTTATAGTGTTAACAAGAAAAGTGTGAAATCAAAATGGCAATTTCCCTCAGTGCCGCGGGCGTTTTCTCTGCGGGTTGCGAGGCACTGGTATAATGATCGACTGGCGGTGAACCACACTCAAAAATTATAACTTATGGAATTTCGAACAACCCACGAAAACAGCAGATACCGTCAACAACGCCCTCAAACCAGACCCCGCCTAATACCTAAAGCAATGTGGTGCTTGCACAGGAAAGCTCATTTTTTTAGTCAATTATTTCTACATGAACAGAGATGTTAGATCAGAAAATCAGCCGAGAATATGGTTGATTGGGCTTATGCTTGTATCAAAAACATAGCGTCTAGTAATTTTGCCTTCCTCCAGGAGTTGGATCATTTGAGTGAGCTCAGAGAGCTCTCCAACTTTGAAGGAGACTTGGATGAGACTGAAGAGATTGATTGCTTCTTGGGTGTTGAAGAGGTTGCCGATGTAGGATCCCTTGATGTTAATCATTCGGATGATGGTCGAGAATACTTCGACAGAAATGCGGGCTTTCAGGGGAGACCTACTAGTACGTAGACTACGGTTCTACAAGATGTGCATGCTATTATTCACCCCAGGCATTAATTGTTTAATCCTTTTTTTTAAGACGGAGTAGTTCTAGAGTAGATTTACCTCTGCGGATTGTTGGAAAAGTTTCTCGCTCACAGCGAGAAGGATCACAGCCTGGGCCCCTGGGCCCCCGGTTACAAAGTTGACATTCGCCACCACATTGCCTTTCGCAAGATCCAAAAATTCCTCACCATCGAGTTTGCTGTGACACACTTCTTGCTTTTCGCTCCTAGTATCGATGGCTATAACACGGAAATCAATTGCTTTGGCTTATTGCACCTAAAATCCTTCAATTAGCTCCAGTATAGGGGAGTGATCCTAGAATGATTACAGCGAGAGTGCGGAGATGACCATCGGCACAATGATGGCTATAGTTTGGCCTGTCCACGCGTCAGATTATTTAAGGGCTTTATAAACCTACTAGAGTTAGTTTGATAGGGACAATAGGTAGTCATCAGGTACAAACAGTGATTCCTACATAGAGAATAGGTGCAATCGCATCCAACGGAGCTCCTTTAGGACTTGTAGGGACATGCACAGCCTTGCCAATCGCAAATTGCCAGAAAGTTCCAGTAGAGGATTCTCGCACAAGCGCTCGTATCCAGTTACACCTATTTCACATTAGTAAGGGTCGTATAAAGATTAACTGGAACAAACTTATAAAATTCGCAGTGGCCGCAACTCCTGTTGAGCCACTCGGTGCCCACATGGTCGTCTACTTTGATGTCCTCAACCAGTTCGCAAACAGTAAGGACAACACCAGCACCTTGAAGACAGTCAGAAATGTACACTCTTTAGCCTAACTAATAGATCATACCTTAGTGACCGCCAATCAGATTTTGTTTAGTGCGCAAAGGCCAGTCATCCTTTAATGCCTACTTATTGTTAATAACTTCCCATTACCGCAATCTAGCAGCAGCTTTTACCTGAAGATCGGTATAAATTAATAACGGGAGCCAACTATCAAACCAAATCAGATCCCACAACTCACCTCTAGTATATTTGATGTTGATCAAAACCTCATCCGGGCCCGGTTTTAGAGCAGGAACCTTTTATACTTAATTTGATCATTGTTGCTCTTATATGTTTGTGTGTATTGCCCGCTAGAAATAGACATGATTAGAAAATGGCATAGAATATAGTCGTTTCAGGCGGATAATGATATCTATCTCATGCTCATCCCGTCAATGACGCAGTCCTTCCCTGTGGTGCTACAGTCTTTGTGCAGCCATTCCGAGGGAGATTTGCCCTAGGCTTCATGCACCTTCCATCTCAACCTTATGTAGCACCAGTATTTGTATCTGTGCCTGCGAACACAAATGCGATACACAACACTTGAGTCAGCTGTGGAGAGTTTGTCTTTAGATATCCGATTTTCTTTTTCCCAGTTCAACGGAGAATAAGCTCATTACTGAGCACGAGAGGAAGCTCTCTATTTTATTCCCAGCGTTGCAATTCAGAGTAATCCGACATGGTCGAAGGATAAAGTAAATCAGGGTGATTAATAGCTGATTCTTGCGCCTCGGAGGATCGGATGAGGGCGGTGGTGACCCTACGAATATTTTCCTGTCAGCCGGTTGCTTTTAGCAATAATAGGGTATTGAGCTTTGAAGTTGGACAGGAGATGGTGAATAAAGAGAGTCAGTGAGATTGAAGTTAGCCAAAACTGAGAGATCCCAAATCAACCGTAGTGCTTCACTGCTGCTACTGGAGAGAGGAGTTTTCCATTGTGAATAACAAAACTAATATACAGGAAAAAAAGAAAAAAAAAGAACTAAGATGTAGGATTTGCGACAACCAAGCCAGTATTCCTAAGGACCATATTTTCAGGTCAATCATACCCATCCGACGAGCTAGAAGATGCACCTTCTTCTAAGGCTGCTCGTATTAGCTTTCAGTAAAATCCATGTGAACTCAACAAGGCTAACTTACAGGATTCGGCTTTAGAGCTTATATCTAGGACCGGTGGCCAGATCGTACGGTAGTACTCCTCCATATCTTCTATCGTGATAGCATAATTCCGCTCTCCCTGGGACCTTTTACGCTTGCGTAAAAATATATCGCGGAATTTTAAGACCAGCGGGGAACCGGTGACCGCCGTAGGGGTTATGCGGATCGTCTGTTTTAGGGTTGGCCCTGTGACTTGGGCTTCGTCGTGTTCGCGAGTTTGTTGCAGATTTTCTCCCATGTCATTTTGCCACATCTCGATGCGGATTGTTTTCGCTTTCTCATTGACGAAAAATAGCAACACTATCTTGACGGCTCCACCCGAGTTGTTTATCCACCATTTACCATCAACCATCAACCGGCGTGCGGTCTCGGAGACACCACACTCAAGAACGACCGTTGGCCACTCGTGGTGTCCTGGACGGGCTTGGACTGGCCGGAAAGACGCATCAGCCTCTTTCCTGCAAGAGGTTCCTGTATAGGTGGTGCTGCCCATTGGCGCAATCATATGCCACTGCCCACCATCCTTTATCTTCTCGACGAAGATATGTTTGAATAGCTCGGTAGCGAGTTCGTGGACGGGGCTCGGCATGTTTTTGACGATCAATAGTTCTTCATTATTGAAGTAGAAAATACGGACCTTTTTGTATCGGGTTTTGCGTACTCTGTCGATGTTTGCGAGTTGATGTAGTGTGACGGGGGAAAAAATTAGGTACGGGGAGGTGGATTCGTCAGCTTTACCCAACCGGAATGCCTCATCTTGCAAATCGACCGCTTCTTTAAAGCTGCGAATATCACGATATTCATACCGTTCTGCCCCCTCTAACCCTTCGGTGAGATAATACTCCATGACAATTTCTCCCTTGGGCTCTCTTGTCTCCCAGCTGTTGGCGGGGATTGGATAGGCCTCGCTTGGTACTTCGGGCTCTGTGGGCTGGAAGCTGTCCGGGGGAGTTGGATAGGCCTCGCTTGGTACTTCGGGCTCTGTGGGCTGGAAGGTGTCCGGGGGAGTTGGATAGGCTTCAGCTTGCGGGGTGGACTTGACAGGCATGGCGGGCACGGCAGGCATTAGAGATTTGTTGCCGATATAAAGTGATGCCTCTTTGGCGGAATGAGGACCAACCGTTGTTGTTACTTTGAGGTTCTGAGGAACAGGTGCGATTAGCGGTAGTTATAAATTTAGCATGTGATCATAGTGCTGCCACTTGGCAACTAAAGCTCGTATTTTGGTCACGTGATATCACACAAAATTGTCTCTCTTCTCACCGTATTAATTTGCAGTTTCGCTTTCTTGTTCCAGTCCAGATAGAAGCGGGGATTAATTGAATTGGTTTGGCGCGCCATTCTCTCATAAGCCTGATTGTTTGTTGAACCGATCAAAAACCTCTGTCTTTCTTTGCTCTATTCAACCTACACTGCTCGTACAGGTCAAAATACCATAAGGTGACTGTGCATGACTGTGAATTTTACTCTTTCGGACTGCCCAGGTGATACTGGCGTAGCAACCGGAAGCAAGAGAGTAAAAAAAAGCTCTTTGTAGTGTGTAACTTTCTCGCACCGCTAACCGTAGCCGACGGATGTAACCGGTAATAGGTGAAGCTGTGTTGAGAAATAAGGGTTTTCTTTGTTTCTTGTTTTGTCAACATTCCCGACCTGCTGGTCACTCGTCCGGGGCCCTTCCACCAAATTCGCTAATCCCATCATTTCTTCCCGTTTCTCAGGCCCGGCACATCAATTTTAGTTCGCGTTTAGGGCGAAGCTAAAGTACTCAAGTACCGGTATGGTTGTGTGCCCGAAAGGTAACGATAGATAACACACCGATAGTACTTCTCATAAGCATGTAACGTCAATAGCGAGTTCAGTACACGTTTCCGGAGCCGCAAGGGCCTAACTACGCCCTCATATCCATTCTCGAGAGGGTAGGAGATCAGTTTTTGACCGAGCACAACTTGCACGTCGAGGCTGACATCTTCCAGCTCCGGAGTCGTACTCACCAAATCCTCGCCCCCTCCTGGTAGCCAACAAGGGTACTCGGCCGCCATTCCGTCAACCTTAACCTATAAACATGGACTCTAATCGCAATGCGCAAGTGGATCTTGTCCGCCAGATCCCTCGTGTTTCCGCAAGGCACCCCTGCCTCGCTCTCTCCCCACCAGGTATCCATAATGTCCGTGTCAAAAAAGCTTAACTCAACTCACAGTTGTGCGGCGTGCCTGAATCCGACGCGCCAGCTACCAAGCAAACCTATAGCTAATATGCCTCGCCAAACCTTCTCTCAAGTTTCTATTGCAAGGATGCGAAGTCTGCTGATAGAATTGTTCCCCCTCATTCCTTCCTGCTCAACCCACTCTCACTATCTCCCCTGGCGCAAGCCTAGAACATACTTCCCCCCCAGGTCAATACTCCTCGCTCACTTCAACATCGCACGGTACTTGCCACAGCATGCTCTTCCCCCGTTGAGGGCCCCACGCTTCTGCCGTTCTCCCGTTAATGATCGAAGTCCCGGAAGGGTACTCTGACGGCCCGCCGCGGATCGAGCTCTGGCCAGATATCTAGCACCCAATGCTCAATAAGGGGTTGTTATAGTGGCGGAGCTGGTGGGCGGGTAGGGAGGGGCAGGGCACCGTGGAGGCGGGGGAGTTTGTCAAAAGCTGCTTTGATGGTGAGGCCGTTGTCATGAAGAAGGTCGGGGGCTGAAGAGCTTGTTGGGAGCACAAGGTAAGGAGGGTTGTTCAGGCCAGTCATGCGGAGAAGGGAGATGGGTGCTGCGTTCTGGTCTAGTTATTCTAACAGTGTGCAGGGTGGCGATAATGGGAGTGTTCCAGACCCGTTTCGTGGAGTTGGATGAGCCCGCTGAGAAGGGGGTTAAGGGTCTTATAAATCGGGAGAGCAGGGCGCTGCTTTGACCGAGGATTATCAAGAGGTTAATTCTTATATGCAGCTTTGATTGGGGGGGGCAATCTTTATATCAAGGGGGGGCACGGTGAATTTATTTGAAGCGCTAATTTATTATTAGAAATTTTTTTTTTTTTGTTAAATCCTTTGATTGTTTATAGGGTACAATCTCTGTATACAACCACTAGGTTACGACATAAAAACCCAAAGCACACAACAAACGTAAGAAAAAATTTTCAAATAACAAAACAAACCAAATAACAATAACCAATCCGGGCAGCCAGGCCTACTTATCCCCTCTTCTTTCCAGCATAACAAATTAGGAAAGCAATTGTGACATTCTGGTAAATGGTCCCTCTCCCTTGACCGGAAAATTAACCTTATGCTTTGAAAACAAATTCACCAAATCATTCATAAAGCCTATGTCTCCCTCCTTGAAGCCAAAAACTGCTGAGTCTGCATCAAAACTGCGTACCCTTGCATCTAAGGTCCTCCAAGTCAAATCAATTACTGGACATCTGTACATCACATGCTCCAGTGTATCATCTTCCAGCTTGCACCTCCCGTACAAACGATCTTCCTCTCTTGTCCGTCAATCCCGCTGATCTGCGAGATAGCTTTTCCCCACCTTTATCTGATGTACTCGTCCTGCCAGGAACTTCGGTTTGTTCATGTATGTCCAACAGGAACAGTACAGTGGTCTCCATTTATAGCGCTCAGGGTACGGGCACTCACACCATAGCTTGTATATCTCTCCTCTTATTCTTCCTATCCCTTTCCAGTACCTGCGGTCATTGGCCTCCGAAGTCACATAGAAAGGGTGCGGTTTGAGTGGGAGAACCCACTCATCGTAAGCTTCTCTAGCTATCGCAGCACACCGATCGATAGGCAGGTATCTTTGCACTGATGTTGTGCTGCTTGCGTTCCACGTCTTGGGCCTGGTTCCCCCGGGCTTGTTGAAGGCCAGGCGTCTCGCTGTTGTTATCCTGGATGGTTTCCTTGTTGGAAATCCCCCAGGCATCATCGCTGTTGCATAGTTGTTCTTGGGGTCCGCAGTGGCAAACCGTACTGACGCCATCGATTGACCCTGCATAGCATAAAGGCTAAGAGGCATTAGGCATGCTTCCGCACTCAGTGCCTTTGTATCTGTCGCATAGAAACAATTTGTTATCCACCTCTGTACCCTCCTCCAGAATACCTCCATTTTGCTAAGGATTGTGCTAGGTGGGTCGAACACCTCCACCCCATATAGTAGGGTTGGAAGTACTATCCCTTTTGCAAGGCGCCTACATGAGTATGGTGTTAGGCCCTTGCCGTACCCTGAGAGCCTCTGGATTCGGTTAAATGTCGCTTGCGCCAGTGTCAGCCTTTTATAAAAATGTGTTCCGCTTGTGAGGCTGGGTGTCCACCAGTAGCCCAGCCACCGCAAGCTGTTTTTTGCTGGCTCAACAACATGGCCATCGATGCTTATACTAAGGGGTTCCGGTTTATTCCTCTGTCTTGGGGTGGTCCAGTGAATCATATCTGTTTTCTCAATTGAGAATTTCAGTCCTAGGTTCTTTGCCATCTGGCGAACTTGTCTCCATGCCCTTTGCAGCACAACTATATTGCGGGCGTACGAGTCGGAAGCCACTGTTATTTTGAAGTCGTCAACGTAGGATATCATGAAGCCCTCTTCCTTTATTATTAGAAGTCTCCTGGCAAAATTTATAATGCTGGGTTGGAGAAACCCGTTACCAATTGGGCAAAGCGCATAGGATACCACTCGAGGGCCCAGGCGCTGTCTCGGAGGTTACGGGGAATTTACTCTCAGAGCAACCTGCGATCGCAATAAAAACTTTCAACCCCAAGTCATAGTTATTAACTTTGAATACCCTTACTGTATCAGTTTGTATCTTCTGGTGAAGAGGTGTTTGCGAATAGATCTGGAGGCTGGGCAGGAGAGCAGGAAACACGATGCCTGTACTCTATTAAACTTATAATATTATAGTAGTAAAGTTACGGCAGGCTGACTTACGGTTCCAGTCTACTTTTGTGTGGTAACTTATTTGCTAGCCCGTCTTCGATTTCTCCGTAAACCTTTTTTTCCCGCAAAGGATCCGGAGGCTCATTTTGCCTCGCGAAAATCAACAAGAGTATGCTATTGTAACCTCGTTATAGGAGGGAATTAACACGTTTTTCCATGTGGTTTGAAAAAAGAAAATACCAACAAACTAACCGAATGAACAAGAGAAAAGAGAAAGCAATTCCCTAGAAGAAAACAAAAGGAGAGGAGAAGAAAAAATCTACCGACTCTCGATCGAGGCGATAGTACTCCTCAATGCTCCATCAATACCAACATGGGACAACGGCCAATTAATCCTTCTAACGACGACCGGGACCCTCCGTTTTCCAGCACCAGTGGGATTCCAATCCTTCCGACCCTATCCTCGCTCTCCTCGGAGGACCGGCTCCCATTAAGCAGTCGCATACCCTCCTCATCAAAGTCCTTCTTCTCTCCGGATCTTCCGTTTATGATGGCCGTCTCCTCAACACTTTCAACAAAGAATCCAGGAGCCCATCAGGCATTCTTTTTACTATTATTATCCCCTTCTGCGTCACTGGGGAGTCTGAATCTAGACGTAGTCAAGGCACGCTTCGTCCAGCGAGGCCCGATGGAGGTGAAGTGCGATTCCACCGTGTCGGGTGCCAATCTAGTTGTGCGTGCCCGTCGATGAGATTCTGAACGGAGGTAGTGTCGACGATATTCGCAGAGGGGAAGTCTAGGATTAACGCACGGAGCAGGGCAGTGCATCGGCGGCGGCTATCGCACAGGCCTTGGGAGGGGGTCATTCTTGGCTCGATCTCCCCCGTCGATGATTGTTGTTGGTGCGTGAGGTCAGGTGGCGGAGAAGATGTGCTGCACGAAGTTTTCAGTGTAATGGGAGGCCTTGGTATAGAGAAAGCCTGGGTATTATTGGTTGGAGATTATGAGGAACAGAAGGGTGAAGCGAGAGAATTACCTTCCGAGAAATGGTAAATGAAGATTCTTGAATATGAGCTTACGACCTTTAAGCTTGGGTGCGAGCCGTCTCCTAGATCCAGTGGTAAGTAAACGTTTCTCGCAACGTTGTTCTCAAGACTGCGCCCCAGAGTCTTGTTCGCTGCGCTGCCCTTCACCAGTTCTACTGGCGCATTGCACAGCACGACTTCGCTCCCTCAGCCACTACTGTCGTCGATACCATACAAACTATCACCCGTGGCTGAGTACACCTCAACTTTATCCAGCAGATGCCGCCTGGCCGTCGCAATTCTGAACAACATAATTCCAGCGGAGAGCGGAATAGTAACGTAGATACCATTCTCAATAGACGTAAATACAGCCACGATGACAGCCGCGGAGAAGGTGATCACTTTCAGCCGGGAGGTGAACTAGAATTTGTACACTATGTTGAGAAGGGTGGTTAGATCGCCGAGGGCAGGGATGATGACAGCGGAGAGACTGGAGTTAGAGATGTAGAAGAACACCGAGGTCAAGAGGTAAATACCAGCAGCCCGACGATACCAGTGATTACCCCAGCAAAGGCTGTGCCCACGCCGGCTTTTGACTTGACTGCCGTACGAGGGAATGATAAAGCGGGTGGGTATCTGCCGAAGAATGAGCCAAAAATATTAGTGACCTCGATCGCGATGAGTCCCTCAGATGGGCTAATCGGATAGTTGTTTATTCTGCCAAACAACTTCTCAATCGCTTGACATTATTCTTGGTTAGCATGAACTCTAGGAACTAGTGGTCGAGGATAGCGTAGAACATACAATATGCTCAACCAACCACAATTACCACCGCTAGAAAATCACTACGAAAACGTTAAATATCCCAGGGTCCGCCTTGGGAACGCCCATGTGCTTGAACCCACTAGGGAAAGTTCCAAGAATCTTTAAAAGTGATATCTTGCCGCGTCCCCGATTCACCAGCCAGGTGATTAGAGTATTCGGCCGGATCATGAAAACTGTTCTCAGCGTGGACAGGAAAAACCACGTCTTATGATGAAGGACTTCTTTGGTGGGAAAGTGCCGGTGATCAAACGAATGAGGTACAAGATAAGCTAGGCACCCGGGATTCCGGCCACCCCCAGATTCCGGCCGGGCGCGTAAATCAACTCGAAGTCACACCCCAACACAGTTCAACCCACACCAGCTCAAGAACACGATATGGCCAATCCCCATGAATATGCAATAGAGCGAGCACTGGAAGCCATCGAGCATGGTATGAGTGAGAAAAAAGCTTGTCTGGAGTTTAAGGTTAGCAGTGGAACGATTCAAGGTCGTCGAGCAGGAGCCTCTACCTCTTGTGAAAGTCATACCTTCATGCAACACTTAACAGCCAACCAGGAAGATGCTCTTGTCGCATGGATATTAGAGCAAGAAGAGAGGGGCTTTGCACCTTCCCATACCCGTGTTCGCAAGATGGCAGAAAAGATCATAGAGTCTGGTGGGAGGAGCATCATGATTGGAAAGAGTTGGGTGCCGCGGTTTTTGTTACGACATCCAAACGTCGCTACACTTTTGGGCAAGCCAATTGATTCGAAGCGAATTCGTAGAACCCAACCAGGACTTATGAGGCAGTTCTTCAATCAATTCAATACTGTATGTGCCCGCTATGGAA